GCCCTCCAGAGGTCAACTGATACCATGTGACCCAAAGGCTCCACCCTAATTCACATCGTTAGTATGGCTCAAAGCCACCACTCTAAGTTACATTGTTATGATCTGGCTGGCCCAAGGCACCCAGGTAAACAAAGACATTTTTACCCAGGCTGGACATTCCAAGGGCTTAGAGGTTACCTCCCAGGAGACAAGGGCAAAGGCCAGACCTTTCTTTGGGTAAGCTTACTTCTTCCTACACACAAGGTCAACATTGTGGTTCATGAATCTAGTATCTGACTTTGATCAGGACACCATGGGCTGGTTTACTGGGGAACACAACTAGTACTTTCCATGATATGGAGTGCTAAATTTGAAAGATGCATAATCCTGGACTTTCCCTTTACTCATTAAAAAGGAATTTAGAAACTAAAACCAAAAAATAAAATAAAACAAAATATTTGACCCTGGTTTTTTTTTTTCAGCATGTGATTTATGTTAGAATAAAAAGTTCAAACATTTTAGAAAAAAGAATTTCTTCCTTTTGTTAGTTTTAACAAGTCCTCTCTTACATTTCAAGCGTTCAAACATTCTGACATTTCACTGAGGTACTTGTTTATCTTATCCATTCTCTTTGTGATTCTAGAGCTGTAAGTTATATAGCTTTAAGATTCAGGATTTTCTGTTCCATTTCTTCTATCACTCAGAGGGTTTTTTTTTTTAATTCTTAAAAGGTCTTTATTCTTTTTTAATCTCTAGACATTTTTCAGGTTTATTTCTTAAGATATGGAGAGCAGAAGTTCACTTTTTATTCCAGGGAGCACTAATTTTGATGAGCCAGGACAAATTAAGCTCCCTACCATAAAGTAAACTCCGTGCATGCAGGGATTTTTTTTTTCTTTTACTTTTACTGTGTAGCCCCAGTGCCTATTGCACTACTTGACACATACAGACCCTCGGTACATATTTGTTGTGTCAAATAACAGTTTTCAAAAAGTTAAAAACCTAACCCTTGCACAAATCTAAAACAAGCAAGTATCAAAGGTGTAGTTAACACATTAATGAGAGAAGCCAGCAAGGTAGTAGTCCGTTCTGAAACAGACACCGGATGAATGCAGGCACAAGATTGCTAGGTTAGAGTTTAAAAATGCTTACCATCATCCAGGACAATAAAATTGTAATTATGGGCTTATCTTTTCTACTGCACAGAAACCATTCGCATTTCTGCTCGGAAAAAATTCATTTGCATTGCTATAGGACAAAAATCATTTTTGTAATGTCAAGCTGTTCTTTGTTGCCCCAGTGGCTTCCTGAGTGACAGCACTTGCCCTGCTTGTTTTGAATTTCTCCTTAGTTGTTTCCACTTCTGTCAACATATGTACTCAAGCCACAAGCCTCATCATGACTTCCTCATTTTACCCCTGTCTCCTTTCCATGTAGACCCAGTCACATTCAAATTACCCAAAGGGAATGCTTCCTGAGTGCCACAAGTTACCCTACCTATGACTCTCTATAAAGGCACTTAGCCGTGGGTCCTTGCTCTGCTGTCTGCCTGCCTGCAGTGACCAAACTTTGAGCTTTGGGTAACTTTCTGTGGTCCTTTGGGCATACTGTGCCCCCCTCTCTAGGGCCTGTGAATGTAATAACACGCGTTTCTGAGTGTAATCTCTCATGCGTTTCTGAGTGTAATCTCTGTGGCCATGTTAGAGTGATTCTCAAAAACCCCCAAGGGGGCTTACTCCCCCTTTTACCACCCAGTGGATATCAGTTTTTCAGAAATTAACATCTGTCCTTTCAGAGTTGTAAAGTATTCTAATCAGCAGTGAAAATTAAGCCAAATAAAGTATTCTTAGTAATATAGGAGTGTTTAATCTCATCTATCAAGTCTGGAAATTAAAAGATATATCCTTCTTGATTTCCAAATGCAAAAACAATTATTAGTTGATTGGTAACTTGATTTATTTTATATCAAGCCAAGTGTTTTACTTCAAGTTACTTTTAGTCTACATTTATTCAGATTCAGGTATATAGTAGGTACTCAGTAAATATTCATAGAATTAATAAAGGCAGAATTTATCTAAGTATTCTGGCTCTGAAGGAGTCATGTCCAAATAATTTTCTCTTTCAATGCTACTTGCTCATGTTTATGAAAGCATTGAGTAGTGGGGAAATTAGAAGCTGTGGAATCAGACCGACATGGTTCAAATCCCAATTCTGTTAACGTATTGGTTATATGGTTTCCAGGAAAACACTCAACCCCTCTAAGCTTTCATTTTCTTTCAGGAAAATAGGGATAACAATGCCTACCTTGCCAGGATGTTGTAAGCATCGATACGTACATAAAGGATTGGTCATAATGTATGCAAAATGCCTCATACAGATTTGCAGTAAAATGGTAGGATATGGTTTTCTTAGTCAGTTTGAGCTGCCATTGCAAATTATCATAGACTGGGTGGCTTAAATAACAACCATGTATTTCTCCCAGTTCTGGAGGCTGGGAAAGGGAAATCCAAGATCAAGACACTGGCAGATCCAGTGTTTGGTGTGGCCACCCTTCCTGGTTTGTAGATGGCCATGTTCTCGTTGTATCCTCACATAGCAGAGAAGAGAAGAAGCAAGCTCTCTCTGTCTCTTTTAAAAGTACTAATCCCCTTATGAGGCCACACCCTCACAACCTAATAATCTCTCAAAGGCCCCATCTCTAAATACCATCACATTGAGGATTAGGGTTTCAACATACGAATTTTGGGGGGACACAAACATTCAGTTCATAGCAACAGCCTAAAACATGATTAAAAAGTAGAAGAATTTACTGTCATCTAATGAAATAATGGAAAGAAATCACAGATGATGAGAGATCAAAGTAGAGATATGACTTTCTCTTTTAAAATCTGTAACAATTTCCCATTCTGCAAGCATAAATGAAATGCTTCTACTTATTATCCTGTTATTGTTTTAACTTTAAGAATTATTTAGGGTATGGTTTGAGGAATTTATTATTTGGTGATAGCAAATAGTCTGTTTGTGGCTTGTTGGCCTTGTGAGACCCCAAGAATATTGCAGCTAGATCAAGATTTCTGTGTTCTAAGTGATTGGTTTCTGTTTAAGCCCACAATTAAGATAAGTGTTCTAGTTAATTTTGCTGTGTAACAAATAAGCCCAACATTGAGAGGCTCAAACCAACCATGTTGGTTTAACCTGATCCTGTGGATCAGGAATTTGGAGAGGGACTAGCCAGGATGGTTTACCTCTTTCCAGGATATCTGGAACCACTGTTGGAGATCAGGGGTGACTTAATGCCTGGCAACTAGAATCATCTGAAGGTCTGTTTGCTTTTATGTCTGGCACCTGGGCTGGGAGGGCTTAAAGACTGGAGCTGCTGACCAGAGCATCTACATGTGACTCCTCTGTATGGTTGGCTACCTTTCAGCATAGTGTCCTCAGGGTAGTTGGACTTATGACATGGTGGCTCAGGGCTCCAGGCACAAGTATTCCAGTCAGATGAGGCAGAAGCTGCATTGCCTTTTATGACAACTTCAGAAGGTGCATAGCCTCTCTTCTATATATTCTATTTGTTGTAGTGGTCTAGAGCCCACCTAGATTCAAGGGGAGGAAACATAGACCCTACAACTTGGTAGGAAGGTGGCAGGGTCATATTGTAGAGAAGAATGTGGGATAGGAGATATTGCTGTGGCCATCTCTGGAAAATAAAATTTGCCACAATGAGTAATTTTGTAGAGGCTTATTTCACATTAGAATATGAAATGAAATATGTCCTATAGTTGTCAAGGGTATTTCCTTTTAGTTGAGCTATTGTCACTGCCCTGCTAGTCACACACAGTTTTCTTTGTGATGGGCTTTTATCTTTTTCTTAATGTTGCATTTTTTAAGTATGGGTTCAATTACCTCACTGATAAAGCTGTTTTAATATTTAATCTATTCCCAGTTCCCAAGTCATTTTCTCAAGTGCCCATCAATTCCTTATAAGTAGTTAATTTAAACGGCCTTTGAAGCATGACTGCATCTGGTTAAGGCAAATCTAAATGTCAACCTTGGAAGCATCCAGTGACATTCAGATGACTCCTTTCAGTGTAGGGCCTCCTTTTTCTATCATGTGTTATATCTTGTCAAAAGAGGACCAGAAACGGTGCCTTTCCCACTCAATATTTTTAGCGTTGTTGAAAAAACTGACACTCTAGAGTCATGCAGACTTGCTTTAATCCCAGAGGCCCCATTTAGTTGTGTGAAACAGTGTAAGTTTCTTAAAAGTTATGGGTTGGTTTCCTCATCTATACACTGAAGATAAAAATCCCCACTTCAAAGAGTTGTAATACGGAAATTAAATAGTCAAAAAAGCTTCTGATGTAGGGCCTGGTTTATAGTAAGAACTCAACAGTAGCTAATGATAAGAACAACTGTCTTTGCATTTTCTGTGCCTATAAATTACCTTTCAGCATAATAGGTCTTGATCAGGATTTTGAACTGATTGTGCCAGTTTCACTGGAGAGGTAAGGGAGGAAGTGTCCACACTAGGGATGATCTTAAGTGTCTTCCTCTTCATTACCCTTTGCAGGTGACAGAAAAACATTCACCTGAGGACAGTGATAAGCCAGGGAAGGTAATTTCAGGAACCTGGGGTTGATGGAGGGCAACCTTTTGAAAGATGTTTTGTCTCTACCAGGTTCTCCATGTTTGGTGACTGGGTTGTTAAAAGGGCAGTAAAAAAATTATTTTCAAATGAGAGGTCCCTTTGCCTGACCACCACAGGATTTTTACACCTAATTGTAAAAATATATACATATTTAGAAATGTATTAAAACTTGGGCAATATGTGCCATGTAAGAAATAAAGTACAAAATGTAGGATAAAATTTTCTCGTATCCCTCTGGATTTCTCCACTTAAAATCTCTATTTAATCTCCAATTATTGTAATAGTCATTATAAAGATGAAAAATGTTTACTGGAATATTTTAAACTGTGAGAAAGCTTTAACTGACTTGGATTTTTGTCTTTTTGTGTGGCAGGTGGTGAAGTTTACCAAATCCTTTGAATTGCTGTCCCCAAAGTGCAGTGCCGATGCTGAGAACAGGTAGGGCTTATGAGTTTCAGTTTTGTCTCTAATCCTCATCTTCGATCCGTGGTGTTGGCAGCATTGCATAATTTCTGAGGATAAGAGTTTTTCTTTCTTTAGATCAGCAAGTACAGCCAAGTATCATCACTCTTCTATATTTCAGGGCTTAAATTAAAACTATACATAAAAATACATGTATATACATCTAAAACTGCTAATGAATAAAGTCGATTTTTAGATACTGGTAGATGTTTGGGGAGGGAATTGGATGTAATAAAATAGACTTAGCAGATATAAAACCTTTTTTTTTTTTTTTTTTTTTTTTGCTTTTTTGCTTTATTCTGGTCCCTCATTTGTCTTCTTCCCTTTTGTTTGCTTGTGTTTGACCAGTACCCCTTGGGGAAAAGACTAAGAGTTTCTAGTAATTCACTTTTTGTCCCTATTGGTATCTTTGAGACTGTAGCAGGGTGAAAGTTAGGGTTGGGGACAATCAGTGAATTTCTGTTAGCTTTGCACTACCCTGAATAATAGTTTGGCTACTACAAAGATAGGTTCTCTTTACTTTGGTCACCTCTAGAAGAAAGGCTAAAAAAATAGTGAAATTGACCAAAATGCAGAAATATGGAGAAGGACAAGTAAAGCATGATGATGATAATGATGACAACACCAGTGATGGTAGTAGCAGCTAGATAAGCAGCTTCCATTTATCTGAGTACCTGCTGAGTTCTAAATGCTTTGTATGCATTGAATCCCCCCAGATAACCTGATGAAGTAGGCATCATTACCCATGCGTGACAGAGGAGAAAGCCAAGGTTCAGTGAGTTTAAGTGACTTGTTCAAGGCCCTGCAGCCAGTAAATGGTAGCCACATCTCAGGACAAGATCACCTGCATAAAACCCTCCCAGTCTCTGAATTTTGATCCCATTGCCAAATATAATTTACAGTCTGGTAATTAATCTCATATAGTGAATGTCTGCTGGATTGTTTCCCAATGTGGCTGGATCAATCAGAATCAAGCTTGGAGAACTGAATAAAAACTAAATTCTCAGGACCCACATGAGTGCTTTTGAGTCAATATGTTGAAAGTGAAGTCCTAAAGATCTGTATATTCAAAAGGCTCCTTGGGTAATACCTGTTTCAAGATGTAATAGTTGAGGGTAATTTGATTTTATGTACTTATTATTGCCTTTAAGTTCAGAAAATAGAAATCAGTACATTAAAATGGGCACTTTAGTTGCTTCACTTTTTATCAAGTGTACGATATTTAAAAGAGTCCATTTCTAATTCCAGTTATAGAGCATTCTTGAAAAGGCAAAATTATAGGAACAGAAAGCAGATCAGTAGTTGCCAGGGTATGGAGATAGAGAGAAGGGTTTACTACGAGGGGGTACAGGGGAATTTTGAGTGGTGAAGTAACCGTTCTCCGTCTTGCTTGTGGTGGCAGTTATACAACTGCGTTTGTCAAAACTTGCAGAACTATGCGCTTAAAAAGCATAAATTTTACTGTTTGTAAATTATACCTTAAAATGGGAAGCAAGAGGTCTTTTGTAAGAGGTTTTTGTTTTCGTGAAAATGTATGTTCACATCTATGTTTAATGTCAGCTAATCTATACCCAAAAAAGATTTAGACATAGAGTTACTAGTGGTGTATTCAGCCATTTTCCTAAAAATTTCATGTAAAATAACATGAAATACATTTTAAAATATCTGTCTGTACTTAGTCCTTTAGCTAGTTATGGCCTCATATAGGTTCTCTCTCTCATATATGAGGGGGAAAAGCCTTCCTTTGAAATCCTAATGTTTTAATATTGTTCTTTTTTTTTTTAACTACTGAATGTGTCCTCATGGTCACTGCAGAGTTAAATATTTCATTATTTTTAATGCTGAGAGAACTTCATGTCAAAACGAAATGACTCAGGGCCCATACTGCTCTTGGCAAACTTCTGATAATAAAAAAGAAAGAAAGAAAGAAAGGTCAGAGTTTCTTTAAAGAGGCATTTGAAAAGTGCCTTTGAACTTTGACATTATGAGATAGTACTCTCCATTATTCTATTTTTGTGGCCTTTATGTAGAATGTCCATTAATTTCAGAAGATCTTTCCTGCATTGTCTAGTAATTTTCCTCACGTAGATGTGGGATCCTTTGGTCATTTATTGGAAGTTAAAGGGATAAAGACAAGTGGCTCTAGCATTTACTTTGCCAGTGGCCGTGGAAGAGACATTGAAACAGGATATGAGTCTACAAATCACAGCCTGCTCTCAACACGTTGTAAATCTTTCCTTTAACCTTCATCACTTAACATCTTCTCTATAGGTAATGTCCATTGGATACCTTAGTCCTCTGGACATCGATTCAGAGTTTTAATAGGATAGCTCTTGAAGATAATGTCTAGGGTTTCATGCAACGATGTTTCAGGGCATTAGTTTAATTCTGATGAACTTTGATTTAAAGCTTGCTGATTTTTATAGACAGTCCTTGAAGACTTTTTTAAAAACCAATTTTGTTGCTGACTCATCATTTCTGCCTCCTGTCTTATGCGGCTAACTCTTTTGTCATGGCCAGTCTCCTCTTGGTCTCCATGTAATTAATACCAAGCAGTTTGAGAGTTGGAAATGATTTGATCTGTCTTTCTTCATGTGGTGTTTACCTCCTCTGGGACAGCCTTGATGACTCTTCTAGTGATAAGATTCTCACAATGTCATGGTGGGCTTTTTCTACTGATAGGGAGTTCTAATTGTCAGAAAGGCATTTTAGGTTGAATCACATTTCTGTAACTTCCACCTCTTTGTCCTAAATTTGTCCTTTGGAGATAGTTATCCTTTCATTAATTTTATTACTTCATTCAACAGCCATATGATGAGTACCTACTCTCTGATAGGTAATGGGGCTACAGAGATTTTTTTTTTAATCAGCAGTCTCTGCCCTCAAGGATCTCAAGGCCAATGAACAGGGGTAGGAGTGGGTTAAGAATATAATATAACCATACCTGGATTTCACCAGGCCTCCAGACCATGGCTATAAATAGAGTCACGGTAACAGTGATAATCTATACTTGGCTGCTTGGTCATTTCTCCCTCGTAGTGTAAGAACCCAAGCCCTTTGCAAAAGACACTCTTGAAGTAGCTCTGGGAATCCCCAAGATTAAAAAAATTTTTTTTATTGCTCACCCATCATTTCTTCCAAGTATTCCTAAGTCCTCTTCCTCTAAACATGGCAGAGCAGCATCTGCTGGACATGGGCTTCCTGGCCCACTGCAGAATTCCCATGAGCATAACTGGACTCCTCACCACCGCTGGGCCACAGCTCCCCGGGCACTGTCTCAGATGCACTGGTGGCCTTTCCAAATCCAAGCAGGGCTTGGTAGTGCAGAAGGTAAGAAGGTTCACTTTCCCTACAGTGTGCTATAGTTTGTTGCCTGACCCCTAATCCGTCCTGCATGTACCTCATTTTTTTTACAAGTCTTTTAGTTCCTAAAGCTTTTCTTTCTCCATAGGACTTGGACTTAGTCCATGGGGCCAGGCTTAGGAACCAGTCCCCAGATTGAGAGCTAGCCACTAGCTAGCTTTTGATTTCCCCACCTTTCTTCCATCTTAGCCACCAGACTCAGATGCTCAAGACCTCCTCCTCCCAGTCCCTTCCCCTCCATGCACATCAGCTTATATAACACATAAAGGCCCCCTCATATACAGATGTGTCCCAGATTAGGCTCATATGTCCTGCTGTCAAGTACATCAGTGACAGCAAAGCAATTCAATACTTTCTGTAAAAGGTTTGTGCAAGGTGGTATTTTAATGTAGAGGAAGGGGCACCCAACTCATCTGGGGAAAACTGGAAGATGATCCTCAGAGAAAGCTTTCAGACATGGTAAAAATTCATTAAGGTCCTATAGAATGATGGGAAGTTAGTGACATGACTACCTTCCAGGGTGAGGAAACATCGTAAACAGAAGCATAGAGGTGGGAGAGAAAACATGGCATGTTTCAGAATCTTTAATTAGGGCCGTGATCTGTTGCCACAAGGGTCATCATAATTGATGGTGATGGCCCTTAACTCCTTCTGAGGGCCTCCAGCTCCCCTGAATGCCATCTCATAGGAGTTTGGGTCCTATCTGGTCCTCAGATGCTCAGACCCTCTTAATTGGCCTGGAGACTGGCTATATGCCTGCTTGCTCACAGAGGAGTAGCAACGGATAGTGAAATATTAAGATTTGTCTTGAAAAATCCTCTGGGCAGTAGTGTGGGAGAAGGACCAGAGGATGACAAGCTAAAGCCACCAAAGATTAAATTTACTGCCTTACCCACATGGCAGTGGTTCAGTTCTGGTAGACTGCACGGATCCACTATCCTTAACTTTTCCAAGTCAGCAACTGCTATTTTTAGACTATTTTCATATTTCATGGTCCCCAGACTCTTCACCACCCTTTTTATTCTCCCCTGGACGTGCCCCAGCTTAGAATGGAACATCATATTCCAGTTTTTTCCAGAATCAGAACAGTTTAGAAATAGACATGTGCCTCTCTTTTGCCGAATATAATACTGTTGATGCATTTATTATTTACAATCCTCTTGCGTTGTCAATACTGACTTTGAAAAAAAATTAAGATCTTGTCTGATCCATTCGACTCTCCCTCTTCTCAGATCTCACTCTAGGACCTTTCATGTGAAGCCTAATTTAATAATATTTAGTGAAGCGGCCAGAATAAACTTTCTTGAATCTCTTATTCAAGCTTTAATAAACCTCTTTCTGTTCTCAATGGGAATAGGGAGTCTGAATGATCATATGTACTTAGAAATGAAAAAGAACATTTATGGACATCTTAAGAGTTAGAAATTTTTATTTAGTTTAAAATATATTTGGCCACATTCTATTGATGTATCTCCTAGGTATAAATATGGGTGCTTTGGAAATTGCCCTTTCTCAGCACTGCTACTTAAGGCTAAAAAAAAAAGAAAAAGAAATTAAAAAAAAAGCCAAATGTCTGTAATTTCTAGAAGGTAACAACTGACTAAAAGGGAATT